CCTCTGCAGCAGAGCTTATACATCTTAAAGAGACCCAAATACTCAGGGATTTTTTGTTTGTTTGTTTTCTGGACTACCATGTTTATTTGCTGTGTTCTTTTAAGGTTTCTATACCTTACAGGGTATAGGTTAATTGAACCCTTAAACTTGGTATTTTCTTTAAATTGAGGTTTGATTTCTACTGAGACTGTCCATGGTCTTAAAAGCCGAAGTAGATGTTTCTCCAAAGGCTCATTGAGCATCTCTTCTTTTTTCATTTCCCTCCAGTATAAATTCCAACATTAGCTAGATTTTGTTTGTAGCTTATCTTTTGCTCCCTACCTTTTAGAGTCTCCCAAACTTCTATTTTGATGAAGTCTAATCAAGTTTTTCCTCCTGGGTTTTTTTGGTTTGTTTGTTTTTGTTTGTTTTTGTGTTTTGTTTTTTTTTTTAACTGTAATATAGCAATAACAGCAATAGCAGACTAATTTTTTGCCTCCTGATTAGGAGTTACTCTTATTTACCTAGAAGAACAAAGAGATATTAAAAAAGAAATTCTTTTATAGCAAGAATAAAGTACACAAGAAGTTGAAGCCTTGGCAGTAAGTTATTTCAAAGACAGTGTAACTATGTAAAAGACTGCAAGTGAGGAAAGCTACAGCCTTAGTTTTTTGTTTTCATAGGCAGTCAAGGTCAAGTGACTTGCCCAGGGTTACACAGCTAATAAGTGTCTGAAGCCGGACTTGAACTCAGGTCCTCCTAACTTTAGGACTGGTGCTCAATCCATTGTACCACCTAGCCGCCCCTAGCCTTAGTTTGGAAACAGTGCCTGGATATTTCCTAGGAGGCAGCAGTTGTGGAGGCAGTACACGCACTGACACTAGCAGTAATGGCAGCAATGGTACTCTCTGGGTACCATCAGGCACAGCCTGCCTTTCTAGGCCTGTTGCAGAAGCTGGTTGTCAAGAGCAATGTGAATATCCCTTATCCTAGCCACTTGTGGCCTGACCACTTGGGGCTGGTTCTTTCTATATTTTGGTAAAGAAGCATTTGAAGATTATCAGGCATGGACAGGGCATGGAGATGCTGGCGAGTATCTAATGAGAGAAGCTGGCTAATCTAGGAGGGAAGCTTGGAAGGTTTTATCCACTTCTTCTGTAGGAAGGACCTCTGAGGTCAGGTGAGGAATGTGCTAGTGGTTAGGGCTGTGACCTGGAGTGGCTTTCCAGCCCTCTGGACTGCCTTGTAAGAGGCCCTAGTTCCAGACCCTTAGGCGAGTGATGTGTTTTTGGAAGTGTGGGAGCTGTCAGCTTAAAAGGGACCAGGGGACCAAGAAGCATGGCCAGTTCTGAGAGTGAGCATGGAGAAAAGTGAGTGACTAGAGTAGGAGCCCTTGGAATTGTGGAAAAGACACTGCCCCAAGTGTGGCTACTCCTGGAAGGACAGACATTCCCTGGCTACTCAAATAAGTCTGCACCATATTTTTTTAAATTTTCAGTGAACAAGTATGTATTTTTCTCACCTCACCTACATCCTTTTGGAAAAAAAGAACAGAACTCCTGTAAGAAATACACATTTTCAAACAAAAAAAATCCTCACATTTGGCTATGTAAAAATGTATGTTTTATTCTGCATTACCTCTCTGTCAGGAGGGACATTATTGGTCTTATGAAGTTATGGTTAGTCTTTTCATTGATCAGAGTTCTTAAGTCTTTCAAAGTTATTTGTCTTTATAGTGTTGTTGTTATTGTATTAATTGTTCTGATTATCCTAATCACTTCACCTTGCATCAGTTCAAACATATCTGCAGGTATCTGAAAGCATCCCATTTCATCATTTCTTATGGTGGAATGATGTTCCATTACATATCATAACTTGTTCAACTGTTCCTTAATTGATGAGGGTTCTTACTTTATCACTGTAAAAATAAATTAAAAAAAATAGTTTTGTACATTTGGGTCTTCTTTTTTTGATGTCTTCGGAGTATAGGCCTAATAATGGTATCATTAGGGCAAAGCATATTTTGGAGACATAGGTCTAATTTACTTTTTTGTTTTGTTTTTTGTTTTATGTTCTAGGCAGTGGGGTTAAGTGACTTGCCCAGGATCACACAGCTAGTAAGTGTTAGGTCTCTGAGGCCAGATTTGAACTCAGGTCCTCCTGAGTCCAGGGCCGGTGCTCTATCCACTTCGCCACCTAGCTGCCCTTCTAATTTACTTTCCAGAAGGGTTAAACCAAGTCACAGCTTTGCCAGTATTAATATCTCTTTTCCTACAACCCTTCCAAATTTTGTCATTTGCCCTTTTTTTGTCAGTATTGTCAATGTCTGAGGGATGTGAGGTGGTACCTGTTGTTATTAGTGACTTAGAGCATTTTTTCATATGGCTATTGATAGCTTGGGTTTCTTCCTTTGAAAACTGCCTGTTTATATCTTTTGATCATTTGTCAACTGGGGAATAGGTCTTATTCTCATAAATTTAATCAGTTCTTATATATCTTGGAAATAAGACCTTTATCAGAGAAAATTCTGCTAAGATTTTTTTTTTCTCAGCTGCTTCCCTTCTGCTCTTAGCTGCATTTGCACTGGATGCTTTTAAGTTTCTTCTTACCTTTCTGATAGATACTCAGGTGATGTTTGTGTTTCTCACTAATAAAGAGTTGGAAAGAAGTATTCTGGGGAAGGTTTTTTAAAAGTTTATAAATGAATTTATCAAAGCATGTGTCAGATTCTGTCCAAGTTTGATAGAAACTTGTTTCTTGAAATGTTATGTTTGAATAAGGGTTTTAAATGTTCATTGCTCAGGTTTGTTTATACCTTCCCTAGAATTGGAGATTTGGGGGATGGGAGACTAATGTTGATGACCCATTTCCCTTTTTTCTGTTTAAATCTCTTTCTGGTTCAGAAAACCAATTGAAATTAAACTGTTTTCTGCAACTATTTTGAACATTCCAGATTCAGCATTGTGGAGATTTGAGTTTTTAAAGCCACGGATAGTCGGATAGTCGCTTTTCCCTTTGTTTAGAGCTTTTTCTTTTAAGGGGATTAGGATGAATAGAGAATAATCCATTCTCTCCTCTGGATATTTCTTGCAAGTTCTTAATCACTGAGCCAAATGACTTTTCTAAGTCTTTGATGCCCTCTCACAAACTATCCAGAGTTAAGCTTTCATTCTGGAGCCTTATGTCCAATTTCTAATGTAACTGATAATTTAGTTTCTGAGTTTAGTTTCTCCAGCTTTTTTTCCTTTTTTAAGTTTTTTGTTTTTTGTTTTTTTGTTTTTGCCTCTGGTGAGTGAGAAGGAAAGAAACAAGCATTTGTTGAGTATCTACTATGTGGTAGGCACTGTGCTAAACATTTTTCAAATATCTTCTTTGATCCTCACAACAGCTCTGCAAGGTAGGTACTATTATTATCCCCATTTTACAGATGAAGTAACTGAGGCAAAAGAGGTTAATGACTTGTCCAGAGTCATACAGATAGTTTATATCTGAGGCCAGATTTGAGCTCAGGTCATCTTGACTCTAGGTCCAGTTCTATCTGCTTAGAGGCACCACCAAGCTGCTCTAAGACTCTCTAGATTTTCGACTGAAGATTTGCTTAAATATAAAGGAAGGTGGCGACAGTGTCTGTGTAGTACTCTAAAAAATTTGGAAAGTAAATTAATAAAAAGACCACGAGTGACCTTGCCAGCCTTATCTTTCTTATTTAGAAATTTTTAACTTCCAAATTTAATAAACGCTAAAAAGGGGAGTATTTCCATATGTAAATTAGACTATAAAAAGAGGACTGTATATGAAGCCCTGGATCTCTATTCCATGCAGTTTGTTATTATTTTAAAGTGTAGAATAAAATCTACACATTATTTTTAAAGTTTTTTTTTTTCCTTTTTAATGAAGAGCATAAAAGTTTTAATGCATGGCAGCCTTATCCTGAAGTTGTGTGGCTGGGCCTTAGTATAGGAGAGATCAAGTGCTTTCCCTTCCTTATCCCTCTAATGTATTCTCTGCTGCTCTTTTATCTGGACACCCCTCCAAGGATTGAGGGGGTAAGATTTAGGAAAAGGGAGAAGGGGATGAACACTTGCTAGAGCAATTGTGAAAGGGATTTTTGTTGAATTGCAGGTCAGATTAGATGAGTTGGGATTCCCCTCCACCTCTGTTGTTGCTATTGTGATTCATTATATGTAATCTCTGCCACTATCAGGTCTTCATTTCTGATGTTAAGGTGAAATTTTGTTACCCAGGTAGTTAAATTTTGCTTTTGTAAGAATTTTCTCAAGCCTAGTTTTTTGTTCACTATACTATTAAATGTTGTGTTTGGATTAAAGATTTGACTATACTTCCCCTTCTTCTTTAACATCCTTAAAGGATCTGCTGTATGATACAGTCATTGACCATATTTCTCTAGACTTTTCCATTCTTTCATGAAGGTGAACTCTTTTAAACTCTCTTATGCATAGTCATTTCTTGTTCCTGTTTGTCAGTGGAGAGATGGTTGGTTGACCTGCTGAACTAAATGGTCTTTCTGCAGGTTCTCCTTTGGACAGTGATTTGTAATTGTTTATCAGGTCACCTCATAATTAGGGCCATGTACACCCACTAATACTTTTGGAGAACCACGAATACCTATGAATAATCTGTTCTTCTGCTTAATTTCTAAAGGATTTTAATGTATTAGGGCTGACAACAGGGTACAGTGGTCTCTTGGGAAAATACCAGTAGGAAACCTTGCTGTGTTTAAATATATGTGCTTGATACTGATTATAAACAGAACAGTGTATAAGACAGATGTCACCCCAGTTTTGCAGGTGATGAAGCTTCTCAGAGAAGTTAAATAGACTTGTCCAAGGCCACACAACCAGTAGGGGGCTGAGCCAGGAATCAGATCTAATCCTTCTGACTCCTACTCCATTGACTTTCTTCCACATGATGCTTCCCCTGAATGAATTTTACGTATTTTCTATATTCATTTTGTGATGTGTTAGCTTTTACAACCTTAATGGAAATCTCTGCTTTCTTAGCAATAGACTATAGTGATGACAACATGCATGAAGCCAAACACCACCTCATTGGAATAGCTTCTTTCATTGATGATGCCAATGCATATATGAAAGGACAGCTGGTGTGTGATCCCATCAGAGAGGACCTACTCTGGGAAAGGTAAGATATGCATCTTAATGTTTCATTTGAGGATCCAAAAAAGGCAAATGACCCTCTGTATTTTTCTCTCCTAGACTTGAAGAGGTTTGTGAATTCAAGAAAGGAAGAGAACAGTGAGGATCCAAAAAGATCTTAATAGGGTAGACTATTAGGCTAAATATTACAAAGTTAGGCTAAATACTATAAAGCCTGGGTTCCTAAAATCAATTGCATGGTTAAGGATAGAAGAGTTCATGTGAAAGTGATCTTGGTAATTTAGTGCTTTTCAAGTTGAGTAGTGTAACATGGAAGCCAAAAAAACTAATACAGTCTTAGGCTGTGTTAATTGGAGAGTATTTAAAACTATAGGGAGAAGCAATAAAAGGAAATGATAGTCATGCTGTATTCTGCATTGCTCAGATTGTCTATTTGAGGATATTGGGGATTATGTTTTTGGAATAATTCTGACAAATTTGAGCACAACCTTGAGGAATGAAAAGACTGGATTGTACCATCAGAGGATTGGTTGAAAGCCACAGAGGTACTTAGCCTAGAGAAGAGTAGAACTGGTGGAGGAGACATGATATCTATAATAATAATCATGATAGTGACAATAATAGCTAGTACTTATATAGCACTGGAACGTTTGCAAAGTGTTTTACATGTGTTATTTCATTTGATCTTCACAACAATCCTGAGAGTAAGTTGGGGGGAAGGAAAGGGAAAGGAGTAAGCAATTATATAGTTCTGGTTATGTGCCAGGCACTGTGCTAAGTGTTAAGGTCATTGAGCAAAGACTATCTGACTTTTTGTCATTGTTATATAAAGGTTTCATTGTGGATATCTGCAGTCACTTTTGTCTCTTGAGATTCTAACAGTTGTGAGATTTTGTGTGGTTAAGTCACTTGTTTTAGTTATACAACTAGCTAGTAGTAGAGTTAGGTTACACCAAGTTTCCTAATTCTTACTCCAGTGCTTTTTCTACTACGCCAACATGAAATGTATTTTTTGATTTCTGTCCAAAGCAATTTTAGGTTTTGAGATTTGGGGTAGTAAGCACAATAATTTTTCCTGTGAATTCAAGATTCTCTTCTCTTTTGATTTTGTATATCTTAGGATAAATTTATGAAGTAAGGTATGATTATACCATTATTCTGATTAATTAGTTTTTAATAATTGCTAATGATTCATAGTTGTTAAATTGTTAAATTCATAATTGTTAAAAAAAAACACACTTAGGAAGATGCTTATGTGCTTACAGTGGGTTTAATAGACAAGGTCCTTGCCTTTTAAAAGTTTACCATTTGTAACAGTTTGATCTTTTTCAATTGGTCTTCAGCAGTTCTCTTGCTGGTAGACAGAGAAATGCAAATAACCCCTTGGGATCAGAAGATCAGGTTTTGGACCCATGTTCCTCTGCCACTTAAATGCTTTGTGATTTGAGACAAGTCACTTTTCCAAGCCTTAGTATCCTCATCTGTCATAGCTGTTGCCCAAGCCTGTTTTCCAGCTCTTAACAGTTTTGGAGATATTTGAGGCATAGATAAAATATGATACAATCACTACCCCTGAGCTTATATTTTACTAAAGGTGGGGGACAATATGACACAAACACAGAAAAAAGCAAAATAGGGCAAAAGAAAGATCATACAAGGTACTTTTAGGAAAATCTAAAGAGTGGGGAGATCTAAATCATATGTTTTCATGGGCCTCAAGTGGGAAGGGAAAGATTAGAGACTCCAGCGAGCTACAGGGATGGTAAAGAGGGTTAAAGGCTGCTAATCATGGGTAGTGGAGCCAGAAAAATCCCAAATCACTACTATAATGTTCTACTAGGGAAAGAACATTTTTAAGAGTAGCATGAGCTCCTTGATTGTATAAATTACATGCTTTCTCTTTGATTAAGGAAATGATTGTTGTTTTTTGTTAATAAAAGTTTCCTATTTGGGGTAGATGACAAATCTACTTTGATGCCTTCTTGTCTTTCCTAATACTTTTTCTCCTTAAAGACTAACTAGCACCAAAATAGCGATCAAGGCTGCATTTGCAGATGACTTTGACACCCACAGGGCTGTTGATGCAATTATGGACCTCATTCAACATGGCAACAGACAGCTTAAGGCTGTTACTAAGGTAACCCATTAGGATATAGCATTCAGAAAATGGCAGCTGTCCACAGTACTGTTGCTTAATACAGACAGATTATGTTGTTATTTTTATAAAGAATGATGAGAAGGGAATCCTGCTAACTTTATTGGAGAGACCTGTATTTTAATAACTGACAACTCAAGAACATGGGCCTAGTAGCTCTTTCGTATTTCAGTGTTTGGGGAAGTCTGTTTCTTCCTTTGCCTTACTGTGATGCAATAGGTGAGAATTATGAAGAAGTCAGTGTGCCCCAGATTTTTAATACTTGGTGAAAACCCTGTTAATTTAGCAAAACTTAATTTTGAACTTAACATTATGGATGATTTCTAAATTTAGGATGGGAAAAATAAAACCACTGTAGAAGTAGATCAGCATAATGAAAAGAATACTGGATCCTTGTCAGGAACTTTGGTTCCCCTCTTGACTCTTTTTGGGGGGGGGTCAATGGGAATGGGGGCTACAGAGTTGAAGACTAGATCTCCCTATTTTGTCCAGTCTGGTAATGAAGTGACCACTCACAGGCTTGATTCCCAGTACCGATCAGCACAGAAGCTTTAACCTGCTCCATTTTTCCAACTGGTCCAATTCACCCCTCCTTAGGCAGTCTAATAATTCACCATATTGGTGCCAGACTTAGTGTGGACAGTCACTCTTTTTAGCTGTACTGCAGCTCAGAACTCTTGAGTTCAAGCTAGTCCATCAGCCTCAGCCTTCCTAGCAGCACACTTGGGTACTCTTGACTCTTAAAGTAACACGGTTTATGACTTCAGGCAAGTTATTTAACCTGTGAGTCTCAGTGCCATCGTCTGTGAAATGAGGGGCTTGGGCTAGGTGGTCTCTCAGGTCTCTTTCAGGTTCAAAATTCTGTGATTCTTTGAGATTAACAACACTTTTAAGAATATTTTCTCAAGGATAAGACTTTTCATATGTGTACAGGGAACTTTTAAAATATGGTTAATTTTACATAGAGAGATTTGGTCAGGTATCTGTGAATAGAGAATGCATTTATTAGAAGGAATTTCTACCTTTTACCTTCTACCTAATTTCTACCTGATGTTATTCTAATTAATTAATTCAGCAACCAAAAAGGAAATTTATAGTTAGATTTGCTTCCAACATGAGAATATTTTAAATATTAAATAAAAAAATTGTAAGCCAACTTTTACTCAGAGAAGTCAATGCAGTATGGGAAAACAAAAATGTATTAGGTGACACTCACAAAGACTTGGTATTGTTGCATGTGTAGGCTGCAACATAGTGAGATTGAGATCTTTTTGTGTGGAAAAGAAAGTTGTTTGCATAGTTCCACAGTTTCCTCCTCACCCTGCTTTGCCACCTTAACCTCACTCTTCCTTCATGGGCTTAAGGAGTGCAAACTTCTCCCATTTTACTTTATATCGTCTCTATCTCATTTTCCTTCCCTTCCTATGTCTTCTAACTTAGATTGGAATCTCTTCTCAGAGGACTGTAAACTAAAGGTACTGGTTTTTTTCTTTACCTGATGAATTAAAAGTAACTTGTCCCTTGTGAGTACTTAGACCCTAGGCCTACAACTTAACTTTTCGGAACTGAAATGGAGACTAAAAGCCAGCCTTACCTGCACTCCCCTCTGCCTCACTCCAAAGTCTGGAAATCACTCCATCACATGGCATATATATATATTTTCTCTACCTACTTTTTGATACCTTACTTGGATTCCAAACTGAGAGATAAAAAGGGCAAGTGAAAAGTTTGAACATATAAGTGAATATTAAGTTACATGGATTCTAGTCAAGTCAAGCTTGACAGGTAAGGTGTGTTCTATAGTTGTACTGCCGTGGTACTATTCATATTATTCATCTTAGTTATTTTTGCCTTCCTTTCTGTTTTATGGCAGATTCTAAGGCATTAGAGTCAAATCGGCCCCTCAGAGGTGGTTGGTTGTCAGACCTCTTCTAGAAGTTCTTTGAGCTCAAATATTTTAGCCCACTTGTTTCAGGTTTCTCATTTGTCAAAGATTGGAGTTTTCCAGTCATGGCCAGTCTCAGTACTGGGGAAGGAAATAGGGGTGGGGAGGAGAAAATAAGCATTTACTGAGTGGCTACCATGTGCCAGACACTGTGCTAAAAGCTTTGCAAATGTCTCATTTGAGCCTCACAACAATCCTGTTGGGTAGGTACTATTATTATGCCCATTTTGCAATTCAGGAAACTGAGGCAAACAGAGGTTAAGTGACTTGCCCCAGAGTCACATAGCTAGTAGGTTTCTAAGGCCAGATTGAACTCTGGTCTTCCTGAGTCCAGACCCAGTGCTTTATCCACTGTTCCACCTACCTGCCCAATTCTTTGGAAGCCAAGTAGAAAAAAAGTATCCTAGATCAGAATACAACAGACTTATTATCAAAGTACAGTTCTATCTTTGGACATATCACAACAGTCACCTTCTCTTCTTTTTTTCCCTCTCCTTGGGGGCGGTAAAGGTCAAGTGAAATAATTAAAGATTTATTTCCCAAATACAGTGCCAAGAGTGAATATAGATCAGGAGCTAATTCGCAAAACTGCAAATAAACAAGTTTAGTGTAACCATGATGAACACAGGAAAATTGGAGTTTGGTGTTATTTTTGCTCTCAGACAGCTTTACAAAGGAGTACAGGATCTCCACTAATATGTGCTTCTTTTTAACCAGTCTAGTGAAGCCCATTGGCAGAATCTGCATGATATCTATTAAAAACATTTGTGTCACTCTGCTGTTAGATCATGTAAAACCCTGTCCACACTCTGTATTTGCTTATAGACTTAACCACTAGAAGTATAACAAGCCTATAGGAATGTGGCTACCTGCAAAGCTGGGTCATTTCTCAACCTTTTTATTGAATGGATTTTTAAAAACTTACCTTAGATTTGCTCTGTGTCAGGAATTTAGTCCCCTAGAACATTCTATATTAAAATTTAGTCCCATAGACTGAAGTTCCACAAGGTTGTTGATGAGGACAAAATGAAAGAAAGGAGTGTGAAAAACTTCGGAGGCACATTGGTCTAGGAGGGAAAGTGCTAACCTAGGATTCAGAAGACTGACAGACCTGGGTTTGAATCTTCACCCCTGCCCCTCACTAGCTGCGAGGCCTTGAGCCAGGCACTTCTCTGAGCCTAAGTTGCCACATAAGTTAAAATATTAACTGCCTGCTTGCCTCATTAGGGACAGTGCAAGAATCAAATGAAATAGTTTATGTAAAAGCATAGAGTAAATGAGTTGGGGTTTGGAGTTGTGTTTTCATTAAACTCCCACTGAGAAAACCTCTCTGAATCCAGATCAACAATTACTTGGCAACTTTATCTTAAAAAGTTGCCTGGTAGCCCAGGGTTGCACAGCAATATAAGTCATATAAATTTTCCCAACTCAGGCAAGCTTTCTACCCATTATTCTTAGCTGCCAGTAAAGGAGTGGTTGTTTTTAAATCATGAAGTGCGGGGAGGGTTTTCAGTTTTTCAGCCTTCCTGGAGTGTGTTTACATTTAGACATAGAGCCAAAAATTTCTCTTTTCACACTGAGATAAAGACTGAGTTATAAACATAATTTGTAATTTTTAACAGGAAGCTAACTGTCCTAGAAGTCCTGCTGTATATGGTGCTATAGTTTCCTATATTGAAAGCTTTTTGGACACAGTTGGAATTTCTCTTTCAAGTAGACAGGTAAGTCATACTCTCCAAAAATCTTAACCATAACAATATTCGGTATCTCCCAGTCCAATAATCTGTCTTCTTACTAAATATTTCTCATGTGACAAAAATGTGTTCCTGAGTCAGCAAGAGAAAAGCAGTAGTTTGAAATGTGGTAACTGCCTCTTGCCCACTGAGAGAAGTAAATCTATGCAGTGGGCAGGAAAAAAGCTAGTAAGAACTGAGGCAGGGGGGATGAAAGAGTGGGGAGCGCGGAGAGAGAGCAGGATAGTGTATTACAGAACAGAAATAGATTGAAAGCTAACTGTTGATATGCCAGGAAGCTGAAGGAGGGCTGAGGGATAAAGAGGGAAGAAATAAGCATTTATTAAGTACCTACTATGTGTCAGGCACTATGCTAAACACTTCACTGATACTGTCTCACTTGATATAACAGGTCTGGGAGGTATGTGCTATTATGAACCCTACTTTACATTTGAGGAAATTGAGGCAGACAGAGGTTAAGTGACTTGCCACGGTCATATAGCTAGTAAATCTGAGACCAGATTTGAACTCCATTCAAATGAACTGTACCATCTAGCTGCCTCTTACAAATATATCAAGAACCAAAGGAGAGATATGAGAAGGCACCTTCCCCCTCCTTTCTCCTTTCTGTCCTTTTTCCTTCTGTAGCTCTCCTCTTCCCTTTAGCCTCCCCCTACTCCTTGCAGAGGTGCATGAGTGTGGAACATTGCATAGAATATCAGATTTTTATTTGTTGTGTTGACTGATTGTACCAGTTTTCCTCCCTCTTTTATAAAAACAAAAGAGATTCTCTGTTACAAAGTATAGATCTCTGGGAGGGAGAAGGATGAGGGGAAATGTAGTTGATGTTAGAACAAAAGATATCAGTAAAAATCTGATTTTTTTTAAAAAGTGTATAAAAAGGATGAGTTAGGAAGAAGAAAAACAGTAATAAATGAATTAGATTAAAAATGAATCTTCAGCATTAATGACCATTTCAAGAACTACTATCCACATTCTTGTGTTTGTGTTTCTTCTTCGTCTTGAGGCATACGACCTGAATATTTCTCTCATCTTGAATTCTCTAGTCTCTAGTCTCATTTGCCTATCACTTGGACCATCACAGCCATGAAAGCTTTTGAAGTGCATTCTTTTTACAAACACACAGAGAAACCAGACTCAGAGGTCTAGAGCAGTAGTGAACCTGACCAGTGAAGTCCATTATTTAGCAGTGTTATTTGGAACTGCTCAGAGGCTTATGTGCAAAGATGAGTTTTCTATCCTCAGAACATTTTAAACATTTTTTTATCATAATTTTTCCCCCAATTGCATGTAAAAACAATTTTTAACATTTGTTTTTTAAAATTGTGAGTTCCAAATTCTCTTCCTCCCCTCTCTTCTTCCTGAGATGGTAGGAAATTCAATATAAGTTATACAAGTGCAATTATGCAAAACATTTCCATATTAGTCGTTTTTGAAAGAAAAAACAGACCAAAAAGAAGTATGCTTTGATCTGCATTCAGACTCCGTCAGTTCTTTCTCTGAAGGTGGATAGCATTTTTCATTATAAGTCCTTTGGAATTATCTTGGATTATTGTATTGCTGAGAATAGCTGTCATTCACAGATGATTATCACAAAATATTGTTATTATTGTGGACTGCATTCTCCTGGCTCTGTGCATTTCAGTTTGCATCAGTTTATGTAAGTCTTTTCAGGTATTTCTGAGAGCATCCTGCTAGTCATTTCTCAGAGCACATAAATATTTTTGTACAAATAGGTCCTTTTCCCTTTTTTAAAAAATCTCTTTGTCATACAAACCTATTCCTGGGTCAAAGGGTACTGCAGAACATTTTGATGTCCAAGTTGCCCTTGAATATCAAAGCTTTAGTGAAGAAAGTTTCCCTGTCTCTTGCCTGTACCAAATTCATTTTGGGCAAGCTGAAGTCCTGCCAGGTATACTCCTTGTGACTAGATTTGTGGATCCAGTTCCATTGGTAAGGACCTCAAAATAAAGTTCAGGGGCTTGTATTTATTTCTGTACTGTAATGGCTAATGGAAACACTAGGTTTACAGGTGGAATATAATTTAAAAGTGATTACTTTTTTTTGCCCATTTTTGCTAGTAATTGATTCTTCATTGTAATCCAAGCTCCTTTGCCTTCCAGAATATCATATTCCAAGCCTGCAATCCTTTATGTAGAAGCTGCTAAATTCTGTGTAATCTTGACTGTGACTCCTCAGTATTTGAGTTGTTTCTTTCTGGTTGCTTGCAGTATTTTCTCCTTGACCTGAGAGTTCTGGAATTTGGCTATAATATTCCTGGGACGTTTCATTTTGGGATCTCTTTCAGCGGGTGATTATTGCATTCTTTCAGTTAGCATTTTACCCTCTGGTTTTAGAATATCAGGGCAGTTTTTCTTGATAATTTTTTTTTTAATCATGGCTTAACAGGTAGTCCAGTAATTCATAAATTGTCTCTCCTGGATCTATTTTCCAGGTCAGTTGTTTTTCCAATGAAGTATTTTATACATTTTCTTTTATTGTTTCATTCATTTAATTCTATGTGATTGATTCTTGATTTCTCAGAGTCATTAGCTTCCATTTGCCCAATTCTAATTTTTTTTTTTTTTTGCTGCAGCAATTGTTTTTAGTTGTGAAGACACAGCATGGCATAGTGCAGAACAATAGCAATCCAAAGACCTCAGTTTCCTGGGTCCATTATTTAGGACCTGTGTGATCTTTATTTTTTTTTATTAATAAATTGATTTATTTTTAGTTTTCAACATTTACTTCCACAAGATTTTGAGTTCCAAATTTTTACCCCATCTTGCCCCTCCCCCCACCCCAAGATGGCATGCATTCTCAATACTCCTTCCCCTAGTCTGCCTTCCCTTCTATCTCTTCCCCCCTTCTCTTTTCCCCTTCTCCTTCTATTTTCCTGAGGGCAGGATAGATTTCTGTACCCCATTTCTTGTATTTCTTATTTCCCAGTTGCATGTGAAAACATTTTTTTTAAACATGTGTTTTTAAAACTTTGGGTTCCAAATTTTCTCCCTCTCCTCCCTCCCCACCCATCCTCATTGAAAAGGCAAGCAACTCAATATAGGTTATACATGTGCAGTTATGCAAAACACTTCCATAGTAGACATGCTGTGAAAAACGAACTCAGTTTCCCTTAATCCTATCCTGCCCCCCCATTTATTCTATTCTTTCTTTTGACCCTGTCCCTCCTCAGAAGTATTTTCTTCTGATTACCCCCTTTCCCAATCTGCCCTCCTCTCTATCATCCCCTTACTCTCTTGTCCCCTTCCCCCCCTATTTTCCTGTAGGGTAAGACAGATTTCCATACCCAATTGAGTGTGTATGTTATTCCCTCCTTAAGTCAAATCCTATGAGAATAAGATTCACTCATTCCCTCTTACCTTCCCCTGTTTCCCCTCCACTGTAAGAACCTTTTCTTTTCTGTTTTTTGTGAGATAATTTACTCTGTTCTTACCTCTCCCTTTCTCCTTCTTCTACTATAATCCTCTCTCAACCCTTATCCAATTCTAATTTTTAAGGAATTATTTTCTTCAGTTTTGTATCTCCTTTTCCATTTGGCCAATTCTACTTTTTAAGGAGCTGTTTTACTTCAGTGAATTTTTGTGCTTCCTTTACTAAGCTGTTGACTCTTTTTTTATAATTCTTTTGCAACTCTCATTTCTTTTCCTAGTTTTTCTCCTACCTCTCTTATTTGATTTTCGAAATCCTTTTTGAGCTCTTCCAGGAGGACTTTTTGGGCTTGAGACCAATTTATATTTCTCTTTGAGGCTTTGTGTGTAGGTGTTTTGACATTGTTGTCCTCTTATGAGCTTGTGTTTTGAACTTCCCTGTGACCATAGTAGCTTTCTATGGTCAAGGCTTTTTTATTTTTTGCTCATTTTCCAATCAATTTCATGACTTTTTAAGTTGAGATCTGCTCAGAACATTTTGATGGTCACAGAGGACACTGCCCCAAATTTCTTGCACTGGAGGCCAGGGATGTGGTCACTATCTTGCTGCTCCAGGATCTCCAGGGCTGGTAGTTTGCCCACTGTGCTGGGATTGCCTGGCCTAATTGTGCCTTTTGCACAGGAGTTTCCTGGGCTGGCAGTTCACCTGTTGCACTGGGACTGGAGGCCTCACTTATGACCTGCTGAGCCAGGACCCTGGGGCCTTGATTGCTGATCTGTGTTGGGGCTAGGGACCTCATGCTGGCTTACCTGGACACTGCCTGCACTGGGCTACACTACCTTTTTACCCAAGTGAGACGACGTTTCTTGAAGTCCTTCTAAGTTATCTTGGGCCGTAAAATTGTGTCACCCTGTCCTTTTGTGAGTTCTGTCACTCCAGAATTTGTTTTGAGGCTTGATTTAAAGTTGTTTAGAGGGAAACTGAGGAGAGCTTACACAGCTTCCTGCCTTTTCTCCACCATCTTGATTCTGCTTCTATTAATGACATTTTTTAAGAACATACCAGAATTTATACTCATTCATTCAACAGAGAAACTAAACACTGACAAAATGTAAAGCTTTATGGCAGGTGTTGTGGGGGATACAGAAATGTTGAAGGAATCATTCCTGTTTTCAGGGAGTGTTTGACTTGTTGAGATAAATTGTCTATGAACTGTGCCATGGGGGGTGTGTGTTTGTGTATGTACCATAACTTGGACACTTTGTTTCTAGTTCATGTTTTATGGCCACTATTTTCTTTTTTTGTCTAACTGCCTTTAAAAGATTAGGAAAGATCCTTGCTGTAAGTGCTCATAAAACATATTTTGAATGAATGAGTGACTTAGAATGCAGAGCATTTTACCAAAAAAGCGTTCCTTTTTTTTCTCCAGAATGAGTCTGTCTTTTACTCTGAATACAAAGAATTGTGGCCCAAGTCTCCTTCAGTCTAGGCAGTTTTTCCAACAACCCTCCACCCTACCCCCAGCTCTTTAAACGCTGGTTATGTTCTACAGATTTTGAAGCCTGAGTTTAAGAGTGTCCAGAAGATCCCTGTTGGTTTTTTTTAGATCAGACGCTTCTCAGGATGAAATCGTGAAAGGACAGGGGCACTACCATGCTGTTTCCTCTCCTTGTCAGAAGCAGCTAATTAACCTTTTCCCCACTCCTCAGGACTGATCTGGCTCTTTTGCTTTTGTCTCTGTAACAAAACGGTTTTCAAATCAAGTTAAAAATAAGGATGATGATAATAGTTTAATATAGTGCTTTAAGCTTTAGCACACATTTCCCTTGTATCAATTATGTGGGGTAGGAAATGCTAGCATTATTCTTCTCATTTTACATATAAGGATATTGGGGCTCAAAAAGATCCAGTGACTTCTGTAACATCATTGGATTACTTGCCTTATATGAGTCTTTAGTTGTATCATGACTACCAAAAATTTAATATAATCTTGGGCTGCATGAGAAGAAAAGTAGTGTCCAGAATGAGCTAGGAGGGGATAGTCCTCCTGTGCTCTGTTAGACTATTCCTGGGGTATTCACGTCTGAATGCCACCCTTTAGGAAGTATGTGGATAGAGTGCTTCCAAAAGAAGATCACCAGGATGGTGTTAGGACTGGACACTGTGTCACGTTAGCATCGAGATGAAAGACCTTGGGGTTATATAGGGTCATGTTGTCGGGCTTTTGAAGAACTGTTTTCTCTTCATCACATTCTTCTATATGCAGCATGTTTGTCATTGCTCACAGCACAGTTAATATTCCGTTACATTCATGTACCACAATTAGGTTTAGCCATTTGCTGATTGATGGACATCTACTTTGTTTCTAATTCTTTGCACTCTAATTATTCCTAGTGGAGAAATATTGAAAGCTTTCTCATCGAGATGGGCATGAAGCAGGATGTCTGCTGTCATGGTTATTATTTGATGTAATATTAGCAATGCTAATCATAGCAATAAAGAAAAAGAAAGTAAAAAAGTGTTCATTGGCCAAAAGGAGGCAAAATTATTTCTGTATTCAGCAATGAATTGTCCCATCTTTTGCCATCTTTGTTAGTTTGATAAGTGAGAAGTGATACCTCAGTGTTGTTTCAAATTTCATTTCTTAGCTTTTTAGTGATTTTCAGGTGGTTACTGACAATTTAAATTTCTTCTTTTGAAAATTCTTTGTTTACAATTTTGACCACTTAATGATTGAGTATTCAGGTCTATATTTGTCAATTCTATTTAGATTTTATCTATCATACTTTTTTGTCAGTTACTTAACACGATTTTTATCACAATTTGTATCCTGGTTTTAGCTTCATCGATTTTTAATTTTTTTTTCTGTTATGGAAATTTTATGTGATTGAGATGGTCTCTTTTGTCTTTTTTTTTCCCCATATCTATGACTGTGAAAACTATAACTTTCAATTTTCACCCTTTGCTCTTCTTGATATATTTATTTTGGTTTCTGGTTTGAGAGTTTCGTTTTGTCGAGCGTGGAATGAGGACAGAGTTTAAGGGGAATTGAAGGCTAGTAGATGCTTCATGGCTGGACAAAACATCTATAAATGACTTTGCTACAGTTTTGTTCTTCTTGCTATCTGAAATACAAATACTCCATAATCAAGCACTTTCTTTATATAAATGTTGCCCAAACCAAAAAAAAAAAATGCTTACTCTAGGACTAGTCATTGCATCAACTTTATTGAACCAAATCAAGAAAATTACTGTTTCTGTGAGCTGTTCATCAGGACCCAGACATAGCTGTATGTGTTTTTTCATAATGGAATTTTGTCTGTGTTTAGTTTATTTCAGAAAATAGGAGCTCAGCTACTCTGCACAGTGTGGTTGATGAGCTAGTGCAGTTTCGTTCCAAAGTCCGTCAGTACTCCCTGGGTGCACCAGAAGGCACAGGGACTGCCCCAGCCGACCTGTCCAAAGAAGCCAAGAAGCTACAGAGAGAGAAAAGGCAACAGTTGCTATTAGAAAGGGAACCTTTGCTCCAAGCTTGCGATAGCCTCCGGCAGAACCTTGCTGCTTATGGAATCAACATTAAGGTTAGTTAAACACTTTATGCTTTCTGTAAACATGCTCCAAAATTTTCTGAAAAAATGCCTGTTTTTTTTAGAGATGTACCAGAAGGTATAGATTTTAAAATACCTTATCTTGAGGTTGGAGGTGTTGCTACCATGGGTGGGAAGTGTTGCTACCATGTGTGTTAAATTCTGTGGATTAGTTGGAGAGAAGAGATTTATAGATTTTGTTTGACAGTTCCTTAAAAGGAGTATTTGAGTGACTGTCTTTAAGTAGCTTACAAACTGCTTTTCTTTAAGGACAAGTCCCTGAGGCTGAAGGGCACCAAAATTCTCACTGGGAAAAATGATAAAGGCTCATGAGGTCCCTCTGGATCTCTTTTTGAATCTTATTCAAAATCTTGCCATTAAGAATGCTTATTTTTTTTCCTTTTGGTCTGTTTCTTCTTTCACAACTGACTAATATGGAAATATGTCTTACATGATCGCATATATATTACCTACATCAAATTGCTTACCATTTTAGGAAGAGGGGAGGGGAAGGAGAAAAATTTGGAATTCAAAATTTTGCACTAATGCTAAAAATTGTCTTTACGTATAATTGAAAAGAAAAATACTGTTTTTTTAAAACGGGTGCTTATATGAAAAAAGGTAGCTGTACGATTTCTTTTAAAATTTTGATTTATAGGATAGGAGCAATATTTCTACGTGGGAACTGCTGGAACCAGGAACAGAGGAGCAAAAAACTGGGAAATGAAATGGATTTAATGAAATGTGTTCTTTCGTGGACATGTGATTCAAGGTTTACTATTGGAAGAGCAAAACTTTATATTAAAGTTTTTCTTTCTGCTGTTAAATCAACATTAAAATTAAATTTTAAACTGGTAGAAGGTGTTTCATTTCTATCAATTATGCTTAAGAGATTTTCACTTTTGTCAGCTGTGTAAATACCATTTATAAATGACTGACTTAGCTTGCATTGTAGATAGAACGTTTTAACGTTTAGTTAAAGAGGAGTTACGAGTAAGCCTGTGATTTTATTGGTAAAGAGAATTCTCAGGTGTGGGAACTTCCTATAACAATGTGGGTCAGTCAACACATTCTCTGTATCTTACCGTCTTTGAGAATTGCTTAAAGGACCCAAGAGGTTTTGTTACTTGCCCAAAGGCACACTGGCAGGACTTGAACCTGAGTCTTCCTAGGCTTGAGGCCAGCTTTCTATCTGCTATGCCACTCCCTCTCAAGTTAATTTAAAAAAAACCATAAAGCAATATTAAACTCAAGCAACTGAAAGCACAAGGATTATAGGACATGAGGATAGACTGAGGGAGGTGGGCCAGTATTTTCACAGTTAGGGAATGGTTTAAGGGTGGTAAAGACAGAACACATCATGAGAGTTGTCTGTATTCAGCAGTGTTAGTCTTGCCACTGCATGAGCCTGCCCCTCAATGATTTCCACAATGTGCACGCCTTCTGTCACCTGGCTTGAGACTATATATACTTGCTATATTTGCTGTCCAATCAGATTTAGCAGGACAGTTGAAAAACCAAGAGCTGTTTGTGTTGGGCCCAGCCTTTGAAATGGGCAAGGTGCTAGGACTTACTGTGCTTCAGAATGAAGTTCTCATTAGTGAGTTTCTTTCCATGTAGTGACTTGACATCAGTGCCACTATGGTAGGAGACAACTGGTACATGAACTCGAGAATGATTCGGTGAAAACAAAAGCCTATGTAACCAAACCTTTTTTTCTCCAGTGTTCAAAGCATGGTTGTTTTTATTGTCTTTGGACCTTGTCTGCAAATAGTTGAAAAGTGACATGGCCCCATGGACCAGTTTTTTTTTTTGCTGTTTGTTTTTTTTTTTAATTAATTTTTTTTCAGTCAGCAAAAATCTATTTTCTCCCTTCTCTCCCCACATTGAGAAAGAGGGAAAAACAAAGCTCCTGTTAGAATATGTAGTCAGGCGAAACAAATTTCTGCATTGGCCACGTCCAAAAAAATTATGTCTGTTTCTGCAGATAGGCAGCATGTTTCATCATGAGGTCTCTGGAATCATGGTCATTCATCATGCTGATCAGATTTCCTAAGTCTTTGAAAGTTGTTTGTCTTTACATGTTGTTATTGTATAAATTGTTCTGGTTCTGCTCACTTCACTCTGTCTCAGTTCCTACAAGTCTTCCCACGTTTCCTTATTTCTTAAAAGCAAAAGTATTCCGTCATATTTGTATACTTTAACTTGTTTAGCCATTCACCAATAGATGTGCACTCCCTCAGTTTCCAATTCTCTGCCACCATAAAAAGCTGCTATAAATATTTTCATACATCCTTAGAGTTTATTTTGCTTGGGACTAATTCCTCCTTTAATCATCTCTTCCTTTCATTTACTCCCTTGTCTCTTCTCCCCTTTCCATCCCATTTCCCTATTTTGTGAAATGTATTTCTGTATCCAATTGTTTGTATTCCTCCTTTAACTAGTTCAGATGAGAGTGACGCCTAAGTGTTAGCTGCTCTGACCACTCCTTCCTCCTTATTTGCATAGAGTTCTACTTGTACATTCTGATTGTTAGATAATTTTCTCTACTTTTCTGTCTATCTCCTCCCCTCCTCCCGCCACGTATTCCTCTTCCTTTCCCTTTAAGATAGAACCACTACTAGGCCTTCTGTCTAATTAGACTCCCTGTATGATCCCTAAAGTTGACCAGGTTCTGCGGGAACACGTTTCATCCCACCTATATTAAAATACAAGCAGTTTTTCTCTATTTAGTCCCTTATGATCATTCGTGTTTACCTTGACTCCTACACTTGCATTTCAGGTTCTGTTCCTCTGTAGACTTTAGACTAGGCAAGAATCTGTAACTGAGATACCACTGTACTCCAGTAGTCCAAGCCACACAGTTACTGCTTGCTTCTAAAACTTGTTCCTTGCTTTGGTACAAAATCTAGGGTTTTCTACTGCTTCTCACCTCAGAATGCCATCCCTAAACACAGGTCCCTTCTTCAGTGCACCCTGAATCTGACTAGGACGGGGTTGTGAGCAGTTGAGCCGCTAGTTGGCCTCTGTTCCTACAGCTTACACAAGTTTAGGCCACTCTTGCCCTTGGTGCATTGTCTTTCCTTACACAGAAGCGCTCCACGTGGCACATTCCTGACCAGACTCTGTCCCTGGTGTCCACAGACCTCTTGTCTTCCTGTATTAATCTGGGCTTGAATAATGATTCACTAATTTTTTCTTGGATTTGATCTGGATTCAGGCTCCTGCATATTCTGGATCTTTTTAGAGGAGTTATAGGGGCAGAGGTCGATGCACTTCTTCCACCTTGACTCTGCTTCCCAGGGACTCATTATTGACTATATTGTCAGAGAACTCTACAGGTTGGTTGTGGCCATGAATTGCTAGGTTGGGGGTGATAAAAAGGCAGTGGGGTTGGTGTTGAGCCAGGAGAAGCTATGGAGTCCATTTGGTGGTGTCTATGGGCCAGCAATTTTTTTAAATCTACATTTTGTTATTTAAAGTTGTGGTCTTTTATACATCCTTTTTTTTTGCAATTACACATATACACACATCATTTTGGTTCTACTTTTTTTCTGATATGAATCACTTCATGTCTTCATATATTTCTCTGAATTCTTCAAATACTTGTGGCCCAATAATACTCTATTACATTCCTATAATTTGTTAAGCTGTTCCCCCAATCATAATGGGTTGTGTGGTTTTATCATAACTTTTTGCTTTTACGAGTAGTACTGCTTCAAATATTTTTATTTGGATAAGTAGCTCCTTGTCAGCATCCTTGGAATATGAACCCAATGGTCCACTGGGCAAAAATACTAACAATTTTTATTTTATCCAGTTTATAAGACTTTTAGGTAATGGGGGTAGGTATTCATACTTTTTTATACTTTAGGGAGGTATCAATAACTTTCATCTTATCTTGGTTAGCTCTGAAGCTTTAGTTTGTAGAGATTTTTTTTCCAGTTATAGAATATTTAAAATTTTTGTTCTTTTTTTGCCCTTCTGTCAATATTTATTTTAGTTGAGCTACTGTGCTTGAGTCCACTGCTTTTTCATGTTCCCTGTCTTTTCTTGATGGTCAGTTGCCATGATAGTCTTCTTGAATTCTGGAGCCATCTTATTTCCAGTTTTATAGCTGCTGAGATCTACCTTAATATCTTCCTTATGATTCAAAACTACTTGGGAGATTTTGGGCCATGTTCTCTCTGCAGGTATAGTTGTTGTAATCTTATTCTCTCTTTCTGGAGCTTTTTTCCCCATTTTTTTTTTAATTGTATTATTGTCTGTTTTTTTGCTTATTCATTTCTTTGGTCTTTCTTCAGAGAGCTGGAAGACACCTCAGGTCATCTTGTCTAACCTCATTTTACAGATAAGAAAACTGAGGCCCAAGGAGGCTGTCTGTGAAGTTTTTCCTGGCAAGATTTTTCCCCTCTTTTAGGGGAGAAGATGTGTGGGGCATTATTCTTTTATTGGTGCATTTGTTACTATATTGAGGTGAGATATAGGCAAACTAAGCTTAGTTATGTCCACTCACACCATCTTGCCCAGTAAAAGTGCTAAGAAGTTTTGTCTGAGTTTGGAGAAGGGAGCAGTACTGTCTAAATCGAAAGGGATCAATAAAGGTTTCAGAGAGTGGTGATAATTGCTAGGTTTTGAAGGATGGATAGGATTTTCACTGGTGGGAAGAATGGCGTGCGCTGAGGAAGGTGAATGAAGGTCAGGCATGTTAGGGGAACTGGGATGGTTTGGAGGAGGGTGAGTTTATATTGGAACCATGGATGGATGGATGGAAGTTGGGCTAAAAAGGGGGATTCTGAGGCCAGATTTTGAAGGGCCTGAAAACTAGGCTAAGCAGCTTTTTCTTTGATTCAGTAGCCAAAGTGTTGTGGAGGTTTTCTCACCATATGGGTGTGAAGCATAAAAGGTAGCTGATACAGCAAAAAAAAATTTGTCCTAAGCTTGAAGACCCGAGTTTGAATCCTCGCTCTGCCATTAATGATTTGATGTCAAATTTGGGAGGTTTCTAGTGGAATACCTTTGGGTTTTGTTGTTTAATACTTCAAAGTAATTTGGATAAAGGTATAGCTGGCCAGTTCATCAAATTTGCAAATGAGACAAATCTGGAGATAGCTAACTTACTAGAGGTAGGAGCTAAAAAGATTCTGACAGGCTGGAAATACAGTTATGAAGTTTAACAAATTTTTTTTTAATCCAACTATAAGATTGGGAGCTTCATTTTAGATGTGGTGGTTTTAATGGTCTGCAAGCTCAATATGAATTACCTGAGAGCAGGCAGCCAAAAAGTATGATTTTAGGCTATACTGAGAGACAGTATCCACCTTTCCTGTTGGACATCCTGCTATAGTTTGCCCTGATTAGACCACAAATGAAGGATGGTGTTTAGTTTGGGCATCACTTTTTGGGAAGGCAAGAAATATTGCTGCTTTTGTCCTTTTTTCTTTTAAATAGGAAGGTATGGAAGTGCATGAATGCTCAAATAAGGTACCAAACACCATTTTAAGAAAAAGCAGGCCACTAGAAAAAGTCATGGTAGTGAATACCTGGTAGCATTTAAGAGTAGAAGATGTTTTAGGAAATGTGTCCATCCTCTGGATGTTCAGGTAAAATAAACTATAAACTCAAACTAACTGTAATAATACCTATTACAACTAGTTTGCAGGTATGTTAGGGGTGGGGATTAAAACATCAGGGAAGTTCTGTAAGGATTTACAAATCAATCCCAAACCAGGCAGATATGCCTCATATGCCACCAGAAGGACACCACATTGATTAGTTCCATCCTTGGCAGACGTTAAGTGCTATGATATGTCCGCAAGGCTGCACTAACCAAACAAGTACAAAGTCTCCAAAAA